CCTGTTGTAGTTCAGCTATTATATGAAAATGATGGATGTAAATATATATATATATATATATATATACATATAATTTATTATAAAATATGATGAGAGCCACATTATTATATTTTAATTAATCACAAAATATGATTAAATTACTACTTTGAAGTGGTTGTTTAAAACGGCTATTATTGAGGTTGATTTTATATTGATAATAGTTTTTATATATTAAGAGCCACCTTTATGAAACATTGGTGACTCTTGAAATTTTATTTTGTTTTATTTATTTGGTGTTTAGGACATCTATTATATAAATCTTATAAAAAAAAAGATTAGAGAAAGATTTTGATAGCAAAATGAATATTTAAGATATCCATATAGATGAATGGAGATGGATGATAAAAATCTCTATTGCTATTGGCCAAAAGGCATGCCCAATGGACTTCAAGGAGGCTGCTTGAGGCCTTATTAGGAATTAGGATTATTCTTTAGAGGCAATTCGAACTTAGGAAGCTAGAATCAGAGAGTTTAGATTTTTTACTATGGTTTTGGTACAAACTTTGTGTAATTTGGAGTTTTTATGAGAAAGATATAAAAGCTTAAAGTTAAGGTATAGGTTTTGTAGCTACTATCACTCTTTTGGATATAATATGTGCATACAAAATACAATGAAAGTTCAAAAACTAGAATTGGAGAGAGCACATTTTTAACTATACTTTTTTTATAGTATTTGATAAATTTTAAGCTATGATGAAGTAATTATAAGAAGTTGAAGTCAATACTTGCAATCTAAAGGCAATAAGTGATACAATTTACTAGTGGTTGTATTTTGAGCCATATCTTGAGCAATTTGACAAGTTTTTGGCTAAAACTTTCTAAAAATGTGTGTTGTCATGTTAATAAACTTTATATGTAAATTTGGTGGCACTTGAAATTTGAGTTTTTGAGATATAGAGAAAATAGTGTTTAGGTGCTTATAAATTAGGATTTGAAGTATCTACTAGGTATTCTAAGATGTCAATCAATCTGTAGTAGATTTCTAATTTGTTATTTTATAATAAAGCTTAAGGATAAATTATACATTATCTAGAAATTTGAAAAAAAAAATGAATAGTTGGATCAAGAGATATGAATTTTTAAAATTCAAAGAAAAAAAATCTTTATGGAAGAAAAATATTTTGAAGGGATTTTACTACAATTTGGATATTTTATGAAAAATAAAGGGATTTTTGGAAGCTAAGACTTTATATATATGTTAAAAGTAGAGATTTAGAGCTATGAAAAAATTATAATATAAAGATGGATATTTGTAAGAAGATTATAGATTTTTTCTAAGCTTATAAGAAATCAAACTTATCAACAAAATTATTACTTATGATTTGGTGCAGCAAAGGATGTTAGAACATTTCTAAATGCTTTAGAAAGCCTAATGTATAAAACTTCTTAAACATAAAAGGATTTTATCAATAAAATATCTTTAGATACTATTGTATTTTTTTGGCCTCTATAATAAAAAAAAACATCACTCATTAGAATTTGTCCAATAAGTTAAAGCTAAATTTTCTATAATTAGATATCTATTACATTCTTAGATAGAAAATCATGCCATATGATAATGTTATTATATGGCATGATTTGTAACCTAAAAATATATGAAATATTTAATTATAGAGAATTTAATTTTAACTTGTTGGCTAAGCTTCAATAAATAATTTATTCCACCTTTAACTTATATACAAAGTCTTTGCTTCCAAAACCTCTTCTTTATGTATAAAATACCTAAATTATAGTAGAGTCCTTCAAAACATATTTTTCACGTAAAAGATTTTTTTTTTTGAATTTTAGAAAATCATATCTTTTGATCCAAAAATTTAGTTTCTCTAAAATTTCTAAATAGTATAGTACTTGCTTTTAAGCTTTACCACAAAAAAAAGTTATTGTGAATTTACTACCAATCTTCTTGCATCTTAGAAATCTTAGCAGGTATTCTAAATCCTAATTTACAAGCACTCAAGTACTATTTTCTTTATATCTTAAAAAATACAAAATTAAAATGTCATAAAGTTTAATAACATAGTTACACAAATTTTTGGAAATTTTGAGCCACAATCTCCTCAAATTGCTTAAGATATAGCTCAAAACACAACCACTAATGAATCAAGTTACTTACTATCTTTAGATTTGAAGTGCTAACTTCAACTTCCAATATCTCCTTCATTCCAATTTCGAATTCATGAAGCAATATGTGAAAAGTATAGCCAAAAAAGTATTTTTTTCCACTCTGGTTGCCAATCTCTCATTGCTTTCTATATGCATGCACATCACTTACTACCTTTAGATTTAAAGCATTGACCTCAACTTCCAATATCTCCTTCATTCCAACTTGGAATTCATCAAGTAGTATACAAAAAATATAGACATAAAGGTGTTTTCTCCAACTCGCATTGCTAATCCTTCATTGCTTTCCATATGCATGCATTATGTTTAGAAGAGTGACAACAGGTACAAAATCATCACCTCAACTTTGAGCATCCATATCTCTTTTATATAAATTCCAAATCACACAAAATTTGTACCAAAATCATAGCCAAAAACCTAATCTTACTGATCTTAGCCTCCAAAGTTTGTATGGCCTCAAAAGAGTAATCCTAATTCGTAATAAGGCCTCTTTAAAGTCCATTGGGCATGATTTTTGGCCAATAGAAATGGAGATTTTCATCATCCATTTCCATTCATTCATATGGATGCCCTAACTTCTCTTTTTGCTACCAAGATCCTTCTCCAATCCTTTTTTTAATAAGTTTTATATAATATATGTCCTAAACATCAAATAAAAGAAACAAAATAAGACTTCAAGGGTCATCAATGTCTAATAAAGGTGACTTTAAATATGTAAAAGTTACTTTCAACCAAAATTAATCTTAAAAGCCACTATCAAAAGAAAATAAAGTTATATAAATTCTAATAGTAGTTCTTTTAAACAACGTCTTTTTAAAGAAGTAATTTAACTACATTCTATAACCAATTAAAATCCACTAACATGGCTCATATCATGTAACTTAATAAATTATATATCAAACATATAAACACAATATTTTCACATGATAGCCAAATCACAACACGACAATGTGGAATACATGGCTAATTTGTTGGCTAAGTTTCTAACCTACCAATCACCTATAGATATGTATAAAGACAAAATTGGATCAATAAAGCTTCTAGGAAGTTTTTTAAGAAGTTATTATGCAATTAATTTATTTTTACATACTTCTATCTACTCATATTATCTAGATAATTATTAGAATAAATATGTATGTCTATGAAAATTATTCATAAATATAATTATGCCAATAACTTTTTTTTTATTATACATTAGGTATGTTAAAAGATTTTGATTAGGCTTTATAATTATATTTATTATTATAGCATGGCAAATTTGAACCTTGACCAATAAGCTAGATAAGTTATATCATTTTTTAAAAACAATAGCATCTATATTTTAAGATTATTTTGTTCAATACAAGCTAGTGTAAAGCAAGTTGTATTGGATTTGCACATCATCCAAAGGGATAATATATAAGTGCCTTTGTTGACTCATTTTATTTTGTAATCATTTGTAATATACTCATTGTCAACATTGCAAGTTGTAAAAAGACTTAGCATTTTCATCTAATAGATAAATTATTGTTTCGACTTCATCCTATATGATTTAGAGTGGATTTCTTGTTACAAAGATGTGATTGGCAAATTACACCAAGAGTAATATGAATCAAAATGAATTCATCTTTGTACACATTGTGAATATAATTTCTGTTTTTTTCTTGTAAATTTTTTTACATTATAATGAGTGCTTTCTGACAAAGTTTAGTATTTAATACGTAGTATTTTTTTATTATATATTTTTTACTTTGTTATAATAAATCAATAGATAAAACATGTAGGATAGCCTAAGATGAAGCTTTAAAAGGTTTTGCAAGGAATTTCATGAAAAAGATTGCCAAAAATAATGAGATTAAACTTGGAATACAATTACATAATTTATAATTCTATTATATCATCTAATATGCTACTAACATGGTGATTCTTAGTAAATGGATTTCTTCAAGGAAATAGACTATCATTGTCATCATCTTCTTTTGAACTTCTTCTTCTTTGTCTACCACTTGATGTTGAAATATTACAATAAGATGTATGTTTTAGGAGAAAAGAAACCCTAAATAATGGCTCTTGATATGAAGGCACTTAAATGAGCAAAAATACTCATGGACAAAAAAAATTGAAATTGAAAACATCAATAGTTTAGGTATAAGGTACATAAGAGACAACAAATGTTTTAGCTATTGTACCAAGTGATTGTCTCCATATTTTTTTTGTACCCCACATTGCTAGAGCTGATGCAAGATCCTACAACATTATGCATAGAAATGTCGTTTGACAACTTGTGGTGGCAAGGACTTGGATACAAAGTGTGTCCTAAGACTAATCAAATTCTTGAGATTCTACGACAACAACATGGATTCAACTAGTTCTAATACAATCCATAGACTAGGTAATTGTGAAAATTATATTATAGGTTCTCCTACATATAATATTCCATAGAACATTTTAGTCTTCAATTATTTTCTCTTGCAAAAACCATGCCATCCAAAAGCACCAACTTCTAGGATTCTCACAATACTTTCCTTTTCCATGTGTTTTTGATCCACTAAAAATGTTATCATTATTGGTCCAAAAAACTATGTTTAGATTCTAAACTAATCAGCGAGTAAAATTTCTGGCTTGAGGTTTCTATTGGTGAATTCTCAATGCATTCAAACACTGTTCCACGATGAAAACAAATCCACTTTTCAGCACGTGAATGGGGAGCGCCCAAATGCACCTTCCCCTGCAAGAAACCAGAGCATCGGAAAGAAGTCGTAGATGGGATGGGATGGATGAACAAAGTAGAGGATGCGACGTCGAAGGCATTCATCCATATCCGTGGGGGGGGGGGGGGGGATAGTTTTGGGCGTCTCGCTATGAGAGTGTGTGCGTCTCTCTCACTCTCTCTCACAAATTCTCAGACTCTGCTGCGGTGCTGGCCTTCGTTGCACTAAACCCAGCAGCAGCAGCAGCCATGGCTGCCATGCCCGCCACCACGGGAATGTCCCGCCTGCTCTCTCCCACCCCTCCCCCGCCTGCCTTGCCCCGTTTCTCAGCTCTCTTCTCCGCCACGCCCGTCTTCTGTTTGATCCCCGGCCGTCGCCACCAATCTCATCTCCTCACCTCTACCCGGCACTTGGGTTCGCTGCATCTCGCCCATTTCGCCAGGAACGCCAGGAACGCCACGAATGTGCCCGGCGAGAGGAAGGGCGTCGCCGTGACGCCACAGGAGCCCGAGATGTCAGCCGCAGAGCTCAAGGCGTACGAGGAGGCATGCGCCAAACTGGAGGGTCAGGAGCCGGACTTCTGGGAGGGCTCTTCATGGAATTCGCTCGGTTTCGCGATGCAGTACTTGTGGGTGTTCGGCGTCGTCGTATCGGTACGTCTGTGTTACCACTTGGGGAAGGTTTTTGGTCGTCACGAATTTTGTACTGGAAGGGGCTCTTTCTATGCACGGCCTTGTTTTCTTCAATATTGAGTCGTTAGAGCGACGTTATCTGCGCATGCTGGGCGGAGATTCCGCCTGGGGGGGCTGGTCTGGACACTCGGGCTTGACCGTAGAGTTGGAATAGAAACGACCCAGGTCGCATCACGGCAGTACTCCCAGCAATTTGTTTTCGCACCATGGTGTTGGAAGCGAATTACAGGGCGCTTGGCACATCCCCGTCACCCTCAGGGCTGGATAAACTAGCCGGGGACAGGGGGTCACCAAGAAATAGAAGCGGGGGGTGCTTTCGCTGGTCGTCGTGGATAGACCTGTCCAAATTTGGCATCAACCTAACGTCGTGACAGAGAATTTGATTGCTCTCGGCGCTCATGTTTTGCAGATCGTAGCGTGTATCACGGCAGTTCGAACGTACAATTTGGGCGCCACGGACTTCAAGAACACCGAAGTGTTCAAAGAGGCTATCGAGTACCAGGTGGACGGGTCCGAGGACACTGGCTCGTCGGTGTTCGACGATGCCACCAAGGAGGCACCGTAAGGTGTGGGATCTTCTGTGTAAGGGTCTCTTTAGATTCAGGATGTAGAGTATAGTAGGAATTGTTGACACATGCCCCGCAGGTGAGATGCTGGAAGCATTCCAGATGTGCGACGTAGAATATGGGGCATCGTCAGTTGAATAGGTGTAGACGAGGATTTGCTCTTGTTGGTGTAGCAGCAAAGGCGAGGAGGTCGATTTCCAGATGAATTGAGGAGCTTCTTTTTGGGCTACGCGGGGTGGTCTTTTTTTTCGAAAAGCAGCCCTAGTTTACGTATCCCCCCGGTCGAGTGGATGGGTTTGAGAGAGAGTATTTGCTTTATACTATCATCAATTGTTGAAGAAAAACATGGCGACTTGGATAGACTCCACGCAACAAGAAGTAATTGGCGCAAGAAGTGTTGTACGATGCAGATGTAGGTGGATCAGATTAGTGTGGTTGTATTGTATTGCTCAGATGCGGCATCTTCACAGGTATACGGAGCAGCAGAGGCCAGTCGGAGAAGTGTGTGCAGCGTAATCTGTTGTGCACCAGAACATGGTGCCGAGTAATAAGGACTTCAATTCCGTGTGAGCACCGAGACGAACTGACTCTGAGTGATGCGGTGCTCCTGACGGACCAGCCTGCTTAGAATGTTGTGAGGTAGAAACTTCACTTGGATGATTGTGTCCGGAGGTACTGGAAATGAGGATCTCGCTCACCAGAACAGAACCACCGACTTGGAGTAGATGCTGCATATCTACAAATGCATGTCTGGGAGCAATCCAAGTAGGAGAGGAACCTTTTGCAAGTCATCTGCAAACCCATGTCAGATATGTTTGAATAAACCACTGTTATGCAAACATGAATGTAGCTGAGTCTACAACCATGACAACAAAGGGCACTTGACTTGGTTAATGCGGTTGGCATGGAATATGGGGTTTGGGAAAGGAAAATCTTGAAAAGAGAGGTAAAGGTAACATGTGAATACTTGTTGCAAATAGGACTTTCATTTGAAAAAAAGGAGACCATTTATTTGTGCAGATTTTGCTTATTGATGAGGTTGTGGTATCGGTCAGAGTACAAAAGCTTTGGTGGTTGGATTGTAAGATGTGGAATTGGTGATCGGTTCTTCAATTCTGTATTACAAAAAAAGATCTTTTAGTACATAGAAACAAAGATGTAATTTGCTAAATTTATAAGTCAAATAATAGGGGTTGTAAAAGATAAAAGACAATCATATTGAGAGGTGGGACATTTGACAATGCAAAAATGTGTAAATACAAGATGTTATTTAAGATATGATTGTAGAAAAATTCTACAAACACAACTTACTTATAAAGAAAAAAAATGGAACCAAAGAAGAAATGTAAATAAAAGATAAAAACAAATTAAAATGATTGTTGTCAAACAAAAAACTAAGTTATTAACTAACACTAAAACATAAGAGCATTGATAAGATTAAAAATGGTCACATTCTTATCTTTATATATACTAATTTATAAGAAGTGTCTATATCAACTTCATAAGCATTAAAAGGTTTGAAGTCTAATCATCCAAGTTGTAGGTTATTTCTACAACCATTTCTTGAAATTTATAATACAAGTTACTTTTGTAGTATAAAATGTCTAAGACAATCTCAAAATTTAATCTACATCCAAAAAGCTTTATTATTATTTTTTGACAAAGATGTACTCTACACAACATGCTTCTATTTACTTCTATTTATTCAAGTAATATAGACATTTGTTACATTAATTTCTTTTAAAAAGACAAGTTTCACAAAGAATAATCAAGTAGTTTTAGAACTTGACAAAGATCAAGATTTGTTGAATAGTGTTTGCAACAAACTACAACCAATATTGTGCAAAAAGGTAGTTCATAGGTTCTTAAATCCATCTATATTATGTTATGTTAAGACAAAAGATCACTCAATTATTTCACCATTATTGGAGCTTTCATAACTATCTTCAAACAATACATTTTGAATGCTATCAAATATGATATTATCACAAATATCTATAATTAATAGTATATTTACTTGATTAAATAGAAGAGTTGGATAGAAGTAAGATAAATTATTATCATCTTGTTGAGAAGCTTCTTAAAAATTATATAGATGTAGAATGAGAATTTTATTATTTTTGTCAATTTCTGTCTTGTTTTTAATTTAGATAAAAGAGTTTCTAGATTTCTTATTTTTGACAAGTCATTCTAATTTTTTTAGGAATTTACATACTTATTTTTTTTATGTCATTTCTCTTCAATATACATCATACTTATTTATTTATATTCTTCAAAATTTTATCTTTGGCAATAATCCAACTTCAACAATATTACTAAGCCTCAAGAATCTCTTTCAAAGTTTAGCATCATAAACATCATATCTTGTGATTTATTCAAAAAAAAAAAAAAAAAAATGAATCATTAGGAGCTTTATTTTGATTTTAATTTTACAAAAATTAAAACAAGCTAAGTGCATTATTTGCCAATTCTACAAACAAATTTTAATGCAAATATGTGAACTATTGATTCTCTATTTTCCAAAACAATTCTACTAATAGATGTTTGGACTTATTTATCTATATTCTTTACAATCAAATGAATTTCAAATCCTAATATTTATTTTAAACAATTGAACCTTCAATTTATCCACTTTTGGTCTCTACATTCACAACTTAGTTTTCATATCTAAAAACCTTACATCCTCAACAACTTATAAATCTTTGATTTCACAACACTCTTCTATTACTAACAACAATGACATTGAGTATTTTCTTTAATTCAAGTAAACCAAAACCAATCAACTCAAACTCCTCTTTCATCACAAATCAAATATATTGGTGACATCCTTGAAATTTGTGCTATGAAATTTTTGATATGTCTAATTGCAATCCCACTGCTGCACCTTTGAAAGCCAATTTTTGGTACTCCAAGAACTTAAACAAAAATCGTTCCTCAATTAAACTTGAACTTGAACTCATGACTATTGTTCCATATTCACAAATACTTGGTTCCCTCCACTACTTAATCAAATGCACACGTTATGACCTTACCTTCCCAATGAATCATTTGGCTTAATTCATGGCCCAACCTGGCCCCTTACAATAGGCCACACTTAAACAACTTCTGCATAATTTAAAGAAAATTTTTAGCACTGGACTCCCATACTCAAGTTCTTTGTACTCGACTCATTTATCATTAAGAACACTTGCCCAATTTAGGTTGAGTGAGCGATCTTGCCACTAGAAGACCACTGTATGATATATACTTATTGGCAATCTGACATCACT